AAGGTTCGGGAGGCTTCTGGAAAAGGCGCCGCGCGCTGGGCGGACCCGCCTCTATATAAGGGAGGCGCGGGGGCGGCGTGCCAGTTGCTTCTGCGTCCTGGTGCTGCCTTGTTGCGGAGCCTGTGCGGTCCTTCAGCCGAGGTGAGGAGGCCATTGCGGGGGGCTCTGGGCGGGCGGCGCGGGGGTCCGGGCACAGGCGGGCGTTGGGCTCGGCCCCCCGGGAAACTCGGCCGGCGGGCCTGGGGCGGCCATGGCCTCCTGGAGGCCTGGGGCCTGCTGCGGCCTCCCCTCCCCCGCAGCGGGAGCGGGCGGGCCGAGGCGCCGGAGGAACAGGGCGGTCGCGGGTGGGGGCACGTGCGGGGTCGGGGGCTCGTTCCCTCCCGGCAGGGGCCCCCGGCCCTTCCCGCCGACCACGGCGGAGGCATCAGGGCCGAGCGGCGCCCGCGTGGGTAGGAGCCGCGCTCACCGGGCCGCACTGGCTCCCGGCTTGGCCCGGAATGAGGTCATCCCTTTGTCCCCGCGGCCTCTCGGCTCCCGAGCGCGGCCAGCGGCGCTTGAGTGGCTCCGTGTCCTTCTAGATGCCCGAGGAGACCCAGACCCAAGACCAGCCGATGGAGGAGGAGGAGGTGGAGACGTTCGCCTTCCAGGCGGAGATTGCCCAGTTGATGTCCCTGATCATCAACACTTTCTACTCGAATAAGGAGATCTTCCTGAGGGAGCTGATTTCGAATTCGTCTGATGTAAGTCTCAGTGGAGAGCGGAATTTTGGTTTCGGTTGCAGGTTCACTGCTCAGGGGCTTTGAGCTTAATCAGTCGTTCGTGTTTTTCGGTAGGCTCTGGACAAGATCAGGTACGAGAGCTTGACGGATCCCAGTAAACTAGACTCTGGGAAAGAGCTGCACATTAATCTCATTCCGAACAAGCAGGATCGAACCCTCACCATTGTGGACACCGGAATCGGAATGACCAAGGCCGATTTGATCAATAACCTTGGTACTATCGCCAAGTCGGGTACCAAGGCGTTCATGGAGGCCTTGCAGGCTGGTGCAGACATCTCTATGATTGGCCAGTTCGGTGTCGGGTTTTACTCCGCCTATCTGGTTGCTGAGAAAGTGACCGTTATCACCAAACACAACGACGACGAGCAGTATGCCTGGGAGTCTTCTGCAGGAGGGTCCTTCACAGTGAGGACTGACACAGGTGGGCGTCTGAGGCTTTGTCGCGGAGGGCGCGGTTCTTAAAATTCAAGGCAGCTTTCTGTTTGACTGGAGTGTAATAGCGTGACCTTCTGGTGGTTTATCTCGGGCAAGGCAGTTAACTCTGGGACTGCACTCCTTTGTAGTGTAAGTAAACCTGTACTTCGTAGTGTTCAGTGATTGTTAGGTGTGGCCCTGGGAGTTTGATTTTCTTCAACGTTAAGCCGTTGAGATTGAAATTGACCTTGCTCTTGTTTCAGGAGAACCTATGGGTCGTGGAACAAAGGTTATCTTGCATCTAAAAGAAGACCAAACCGAGTACTTGGAGGAAAGAAGGATAAAGGAGATTGTGAAGAAACACTCACAGTTTATTGGCTATCCGATTACTCTTTTTGTGAGTTTTTTTATGTATTTTGTATGTAGCTAGTTGAAGCTATTGAAAGTGAACTCTTCAGTCTCTTGATCTCTTCATAAGGAAGAGATAGATCCACACTTGTATTTACTGGGCCTGTGAAGGTACCCAGGGTTATTTACATACATCAAATACTGATGGGAAGCTTCCTGGCTGCTTAATGTTTGCCAGTTGGCTGAGTAGGCTGTGGTGTAAGTGCAGCTTCTCCGTTTAGCTTCTTTTTTTTAGTTCTGGGATGGAGAGGTGATGTGATGTCTTGTCTTTGAAGGTGGAGAAGGAACGTGATAAGGAAGTCAGTGATGATGAGGCGGAGGAAAAGGAAGACAAAGAGGAGGAAAAGGAAAAAGAAGAAAAGGAGTCCGATGACAAACCTGAAATAGAAGATGTCGGTTCCGATGAAGAGGAAGAGGAAAAGAAGGATGGTGACAAGAAGAAGAAGAAGAAGATTAAGGAGAAATACATCGATCAGGAGGAGCTGAACAAAACGAAGCCCATTTGGACCAGGAATCCTGACGACATTACTAATGAAGAATATGGAGAATTCTATAAGAGCTTGACCAACGACTGGGAAGATCACTTGGCAGTGAAGGTGAGTGTTGAATACTTCAGAGACAGCATGTCTCTGCAGGTTGTCTTCCTCCAACGGTTAAATTGGAGCATTGATGCTGGCAGCTCCCCCCAAAGTGCTTTAAGTTTTGTAACTGCAAAGTGTTTAGCTGTCAGGTTGATAGAGGTACATGTCAGTGGAAACTGCAGTTTGTGTTGATCATGACTTCGTGTGTTTGGTTACAGCATTTTTCAGTTGAAGGACAGTTGGAATTCAGAGCCCTCCTTTTTGTCCCAAGACGTGCTCCGTTTGACTTATTCGAAAACAGAAAGAAAAAGAACAACATTAAGCTGTATGTTCGCAGAGTTTTCATCATGGACAACTGTGAGGAGCTGATCCCAGAATATCTGAGTAAGTGTAGTCAAGTATATACGGTCGTCACTAGTCCAAGAAACTAATCGTGTTGTTGGTTTGGGGTTATTGGGGTTTATGTATTTGTCTGTTTTGGTCTTTGGAGTGACTTTGAGTGTGTCTTGGTTTTTCCAGATTTCATTAGAGGCGTGGTGGACTCTGAAGACCTCCCTCTAAATATTTCCCGAGAGATGTTGCAACAAAGCAAAATTTTGAAAGTTATCAGGAAGAACTTGGTCAAAAAATGTTTAGAACTCTTCACTGAACTGGCAGAAGATAAAGAGAACTACAAGAAATTTTATGAGCAGTTCTCTAAAAATATTAAGGTTGGTTATAAATACGGTTGATCATGAGCAGGAGTAATAAACTGGTTTCTCATTTTAAGTGATCCTAATGCGGAGAAAGCCTTCCTAAAGCTGACGTTATCTTTCAGCTTGGAATACATGAAGATTCTCAAAATCGGAAGAAGTTGTCGGAGCTGTTGAGGTACTACACGTCTGCTTCTGGTGATGAGATGGTTTCCCTCAAGGACTACTGCACAAGAATGAAGGAAAACCAGAAACACATCTATTATATCACAGGTACTGGGCGGTAAATGTTAGTCATGCTTTTGTTCTTGCAGTCCCACAGAGCAGGTGGGTGTGTTCTACCTACACGATGCTACTGGTAAATTTATAGGTGTTAATATACGCAAGACGGTTAACATGAGTTAGCCCAAATCTGTGGTTAGCTCTGCCTCCGTGGTGGTAGTAGAAAAAGACGAAAAGAAACCACTTCCTGCTAAAAGTCTGAAACTTCCTAATACCTCAGGTGAGACCAAGGACCAGGTAGCGAACTCTGCCTTCGTGGAGCGTCTTCGGAAGCACGGCCTGGAAGTGATCTACATGATCGAGCCTATTGATGAGTACTGTGTCCAGCAGCTGAAGGAATTTGAGGGAAAGACCTTAGTGTCAGTCACCAAAGAGGGCCTAGAGCTTCCAGAAGATGAAGAAGAGAAAAAGAAACAGGAAGAAAAAAAGACAAAGTTTGAAAACCTCTGCAAAATCATGAAGGACATCTTGGAGAAGAAAGTTGAGAAGGTATGTAAATGCAGCCTTCCCACCTGCGCATTTTTAATAATGACAGTTCTTAGGAGTGTTACGTGTTTTTCAGAGAAGTCATACGTGGTCCCTCAATTTCTCTCTGTTTAGGAAAGTTTAGAAAACTTCAGCCTGACCATTTAGTGATGGGTATAGACCTAAAGATTCTTAAAAGACCTAAAAAGAGAAAGGGAATGAAAGTACAGGAAGGAAATTTTGGGTATCTAAATTTGCAGGTAGTATTTCCAAGTCATCAATATCTGAGTCCCTTAAGTACTCCGAACAAAACTGATAGAGCGTGGAGAAAGTTCAGTCTTTGTAAGGCACAGACATCACTGGATGCCTTGATTGCAGGTAGTCGTGTCAAACCGACTGGTGACGTCCCCATGCTGCATTGTCACCAGCACGTATGGCTGGACAGCGAACATGGAAAGGATCATGAAGGCTCAGGCCCTGAGAGACAACTCCACCATGGGTTACATGGCAGCAAAGAAGCACCTGGAGATCAACCCGGACCATTCCATCATCGAAACCTTACGGCAGAAGGCAGAGGCCGACAAGAACGACAAGTCCGTGAAGGATCTGGTCATCCTGCTCTACGAAACTGCCCTCCTGTCCTCCGGCTTCAGTCTGGAAGACCCCCAGACACATGCCAACAGGATCTATAGGATGATCAAACTCGGTCTTGGTAAGTCTTGTGCAGGTATCACGTGAAATACTGTCAGGAAAAAAGTTAAAACACTTGTAGCACAAGAGACTGGTGGAAACGGTGAATTCCAGCAGTTTTTCTAACAGTGTGCCTTTTATCTAAAAGGTATTGATGAGGATGACCCGACTGCTGATGACAGCAGTGCGGCGGTGACGGAGGAGATGCCGCCCCTGGAAGGGGACGACGACACGTCGCGCATGGAGGAAGTGGACTAGGCGTCCGCGGCCAGCTCCTGTACCCCTGCTCAGTCCTCTAGCTCCATTCCCTCCCATAATCTATTTTCAAGTATTTCTTTCTTTATTTTTGTTAACGTTTAAAATATCCGTATGGCATGACAATAACTACGTAAGGGGGAGATAAGATTTCTTTCTAAGTGTGATACTGTGATACTTTAGGCCCTAAAGCAGAGCTAGTTTTTCCTCCTAGTTTCACGTTGGCTTATTTTAACAGGTCGAGGTAGCGTTTGTTGAAAGTTGTATGTAACTTAACGTTAACTTTGTGTTCTGGAGTATGTAGCTATCAAGCGAATTCTTTAGTAGACCAAATCTTTCGTTGTTGAAGTGCTCTGAACTACATACCTTGATGTTTAAAGCAACTGTCATCTTCTGGGATCTACTTTTTAAACTTTCCATCCCCTGTAGTTACCGACTGCATGAACCAGGCTTCTAGGAGATAGTATGTTAAACCGAACCAACTCGTTGGGAATAACTGTCCGTCCATAGGGCTTGTTTTCCAAAGAAAAGTATTTAGAGTAGCAAAACTATAAGCCAACCTAAGGCATGTTGTAAAGCTGTGTGAAAAGTAACTCCGCAAGTTTTGTGAGTGGAAATGTAGTGTGTAAGTCACATTTTGCTTTAAAAAGTTGTAACAAATACAAATGAATTAAAAAATTGTGTGAAAGTGTCTTAATTGGGGAGGATGCAGGGTGGTTAGAGGTGACGGGATGGTGGTCCCAGCACGTGGAACACGAGGTGTGCACCCCTTACCTGGTAGAGGGGAGGCAAGGAAGGAGATGCCTTCAATGGTAAGATTTCTGTGGGTGGCAGGTGTGGGTGGGGAGCGTGTGTCGAAGGCCTGGGAGGGTGGGGCAGGCTGCCCCACCCCGTGTCCCTGTGTTGTGTTCTTCAGGCGTGTCCTCCCTTGGGACTGCTGCTCTTTAATAGTGTTGGTAAAACGTTCCTGTAAGCGCAGCCCCATAATACCTTGGCTTCACGAGTGCCTCATGGTTCATTAGCCGTCCCACCTGAAATCCTTCGATTCTTGGAGTCTCAGAGCCTCGGGCAGGTGGGCAGGCTGCGGGTGGAGGAGGAGGCTGCAGCTGGGAGTAGAGGGCGGCGGTGGGGCAGACGGGTCAGGAAGGTCTATGGGTTTGGGTTCCCGAGAGTAAGGCCATGTATAAAAAGTGACAATGACCAATGGCAGGGGAGCAGGAAGGCTGGAAGGCCTGTCACCCAGTGCCCAGCAGGCACTCAGCTGTTTAATCTTGATAATCCTCTGAGGCAGAAGTTCTTACCCTCTTTAGACAAATGGGAGGTATTAAGTGGAGTCAGCCCTTCCCCCTTCACTGGCAGATGTTACCAGCTGGGAGGGAGTGTGAGGTTTAGTGGGGGAGCTGGGAACTGTAGGGCAAAAGGTAAAGTTTCTTCCACGATCCTTGTGTTCAGTAGCAAGACAGGTCTCAAACCAGGAGGAGGAGCTTAGGCTCGGGGGGCCGGTCCTGGGAACCGCACCCTCTAAACAGCTTTGCAGCTTCAACCAGAGGGTATTTTGTAAGGGGTTGTATCTTGTTAAGAGTTTCGACAAGACAAAGGACCATTTCTTCCAAATGTATTGGGAGTGGTTGCAGAAAGGGGGCAGGTACCTCCAGGAGTGAAACCGAGGAGGACGGGAAGAGGGATTAGATACAGCGAAGAGCTGGGGGACACTGTTCCTTTTCCCCTTGGTCTGTCCCCGGTGCCCTGCGTTCCCCGGGGGAGGCGGCACTGTCCTGCTGCAGGGATGCCGCCGCCGCGGCTGGAACCCCGCTCTCAGCCCGGCACACGCGGTGCCCAGGACACGTGGCGTTTGTCCAAACTGCTACTTAAAACTGTCAAGGCCCCAAGAAAAACAGGCATTTGAGGGAAATGAACTGAGAGCTTCTGTATAAACGATCTCCCACCTGAGCACATCCTCCCCGAGTTCCTGGAAAGGCATTTATGGCAAATACATGCACTTAACTATGGATCTGGAACTGTCCCTGGTAACTGCTGCCCGGGACTGGCCCACAAAGACCCCCAGCCCCATGGGGGGGAAGTCGGGCTAGAGGTCACACGAGCACGCGGGCAATGACATTCCGCCCGAGTCCCGCAGTCAGTCCCCTCCTGCCCAGATGTGGCAGTGAGTGTTGAGCAGCATAGATGGGTGCGGTGCAGGCGGGAAAGCCATTATTCACAGATGACATGGTTGTGAGGACAACCAGAAAGGAGTCTGCAGAACCAGTCCAAGAATACATCAGTTTAGCAAGGTCCTAGGTTAGGAGATCAAAACATGAAATCCAGTCGAAAAGTTTGCAATTTCAACAGACAATACTCATTCATCTTCAAAAGTTAATTCATAGTAGCACACTACATAGAAATTTTACAAGAGGTTTTGCAAGACCTGCATGCTGTGAACTAAACGTTGCTGAGAGAAATCACACCTGGGGAAAGGGGGAGAGGGTGGAAGAATCCAGACAGAAAAAGCTACTTCTACACCATTTCATTTTCATAAAATTCTAGAAAAGGTACAGCTATGACAATGGAAAGCAGGTCAGCGGGTTGCCTGGGGCCAGGAGTCCTAGTGGGGAGGACTCACTGCAGAGGGGCAGGAGGGAACGTCTGGGGCCCATGGAGGAGCCCCGAAACTTGGGGTGATGGCAGCACCGCTGTATCTCCGTATTAAAAGTCATCAAGCTTAGAATACACAAGACGAGTGACTTTCCACGGTGTACTGTGCATGAACAGCAAATGAAGAAACAAAAGCAGGAATCTAGAAGGCAGTCTGCTGGCATTCAAAAGTGACCTTGAGGAAGGTGCTGTGCATCTGGTAAATCAGAGCTAATGATAGCTTACAAGCTTGTTCTGGCGTTTTCAAGATGGTGGGCCTAGCAGGTGCCTGGCATTTAATGGGTGCTTGTAACTGAGATCGTACTTCCAAGGACTCACTTCTCAGGGTGCCTTGCCTCCTATCCTGTGAGGTTGCCTTACTCTGGCTCACGCCCACCAAGTAATCTCCCGCAAGCCCCAGCCTAGGCCTCGCTCCCTCTGGAAGTTTTTCTAGATCGCTTCTGCCCTCACTGTCTCTCGGTCCTCAAACTTTCAGTAATTCCTACCAAGCACATATCCGTCAAGTTTTTATTGAACGCTAATGAAGAACCAGCCCGGTACTGTTCCATGGGCTGCACAGATGAAGTGCATCACTGGGGAAGCCAAACCAGCTCTGGCCCTGAGAGGGAAGGCCAGGAAGGCCCCACCTGAGGCATAAGCACAGAGCGGGGAGGGGGCTCACCCGGCCGGGCAGGCTGGGGACACTCCAGAGAGGAGGTGACTGCTGATACAAAGGTGAACTGATTTCAGCCAAGAAGTGGGGAGGCTTCCCAGGGTAGGGTGGGCTTGCGATCCTCGATGCACGTGGCCTGGGGAGGGTGGGGGCGTCTGAGTGAGGAGGGAAAGCCAGAGGGCGAAACTTGCTAGTTGTGTGTGCCCTGGACATTAGCCGTTAGCCTCAGGCCTGGAGTGGGTCTGTTCAGCAACTCAGCTGTCGGGGGGCAGGGAGGAGCCGTGGTCTGCCACGGGGCTGCTTTTCGAGAATGGGGGGTCCATGCCCACCCCTTGAGAAATGTCCTTGGGGTTCAGCATCACCATCTCTCACCTTCACACCAGGAGGCTCCTTGTTCCAGCTCACCCGACAGACAGGACAGCAGGAGGGAGCAAGCACACCGGCTCCCACTGGCTCCTCGCTCCTGCACCCCGACCCCCACCTCCAAAGATGGGTCTTAGGAAGAGCCCACAGGACCAGTCCTGAGTTTCAAGAACAGAGATGTTTGTTTTGTTCACTCATGTATCCCAAATAGCACAGTGTTTGGCACGTGGCAGGCACTCAAATATTTGTTAACAAGTAAGTCTAAGCACTTCCCAGTTTACAAACACGTTAACTTATGGTTTCTAATTTTCTTCTTTTATTTTGGAGATTTCCCAAATGCATGCAACGTAGAGGGAAACAAACAACATCAAGAGTTGACGAAGACGTGGAGAAACGGGAACCCTCATACACTGCTGATGGGAAGGTCTTAAAACGGTGCCATTTTGGAGAACAGTCTGGCAGCTCCTGGAAAAGGTAAACTGTGGAATTACCATATGATCTAGCCATGCTGCTCTTCAGTATCTGCCAAGGAGAAATGAAAACACGTGTCCAAAAAAACATATACAGTCAGTCGTCCCTTGGTATCCGTCCCTTGGGGGACTGGTTCCAGGATCCCTGGGGTTACTGACGTCTGAGGATGCTCCAGTCCCTAATGTAGCGCCGAGCACAAGTGAGCCCTCTGTATCCTCAGGGCTGACTGTGCACACGTGTTCACAGCAGCGTCATTCATAAAAGCCAGAAGGTGGAAACAAACCAAATGTCCATCAACAGGGGAATGGCTATGTAAAATGTGGTATAACTGTACAGTGGCATGCTATTTGGAATATCGGATTATTGCCTTAGAAAGGAATGAGACGCTGATTTATCTACCACAGTATGAATGAACCTGGAAAACTATGTCAAGTCAAAGAAATCCCTCACAGAAGGCCACGTGTTTACTGTGTGACCCCATTTATATGAAACGTCCTGAACATGGATGTGTGGTTGGCCAGGGACTCTGGGGAAGAGCCACAGAGAGTGACTGCTTAATGAGTATAGAGTTTCTTTTTTGGGGTGATGTAAGCATTGAAAAAAATTGATTATGATGGTTGCATAATACTGTGAATATCGTAAAAAAATCACTGAGCTGCACACTTTCCATGAGTGAGTTGTATAATAGATGAATCATATCTCAAACTGTTATTGGAAAAACCTAGAGGGACTCTGTAGACCCTCCAAAAATTAAACAGTGACCGTATGAGCCAGCAGTTCCTCCCGTAGGTATGTGCTCAGAAGGGAAATCAGTGACTCAACGCATGTTTGTTCACGGCAGTGTCATTCATGTTAACCAAAAGGTAGAAACAACCCAGACTCATCAGTGAATTAATGGATAAACAAACAGAGCCTTTCATGGGCTGTGTCCCAGATGTCCCCTCTCAGAGTTTCACACACCACACAGCAGCTGCTCCGCCCGGGATGGTAAAATCTGCACAGGGTAGAATTTACCGTTTGAAGTGGGCAGCTCCAGGGCGTTACCTGCATTCAAAGTGTGCAGCCGTCACGCCCCCCACAGAAACTGCACCGTGAAGAAGTCACTCGCAAGGATGGTCGGTGTCCCCCTACACCTGGCTAACTCGCCCCGCTGTCCGCCTCGGTTTACGTGTCGCTTGCTTCAGAAGAGCCCCAGCGGCCTCTCCCGGCGTCTCCTCCCTTTCTTGGTGGCGCTTCTCCTGACTGGCCGGCGATGGTTAGTTTGCGGTCTGTCTCCCTGCCTCTCCGCTGCCTGTCGGCCCCTGAAGGCGGGCAGGTGCCTAGCTCGCTCCGTGCCAGTCCGGTGCGCCGGTGTATTTGCGGAGTGAATGAATCACCGGTACCTACCGCTGACACTCTTCCTCTTCCTGTGGGGATGGCGAGTTGTTCAACAATTCTGTATAATTTAGGAAGATGTTCCCTTTTCTAAGCCTGCAAGATATGCTCAAACCTTTGAAAGTGTGATTACAGATCACTCTTCTATAGGAAGGGACATCACTTC